TAACGAAAGCCGATGGAGAGCTTGAAAAAAAAGCGCGGCTCACACAAATGGAATACGTTTCGGCACTCAAATATATGCGACCAAGATCACCGGACTGGCGACCTGTGGTACTGTACTGTTTGATGCTTCTTCTTTCCTGATATATCAGACATTCGCATCTTTTCTCGTTTAATCACTATTTTACGGTGGATCATCTTTGGTTGAAGTTATTTCCTCTATTCTTAATGTTCTCTACTGAACCGGAAACTGGCATTTGCTGAGGATATTTGGAATTGTATTTTAAAATTATTTGAAGGTGATGAGTGCATCAATACACAAGCCTGAAACCATCGAAAATGTTTCGAAAATGTTAGACAAATTTTGGGATACAGCCGTTAAAACAGGACTACTGATGGAACGTCGTAACGAACAGCTAACCAAATGGATGTGGACTCATGTTCAGGATGAAATAATGGCCGTCTTCAGAAGGCATCCTCAAGTTCTCCGAAAGGTTTGAACTGAGTGAAAAACTTAAATTTCTATGAGTTCACAAAGCGAAAACTTTGTTGATTTCATTATGGTTTTTGATTGGCTGTCCAAACGAATAGTTCGCATGGAATATGAACGAAAAAAAGCCGTAGAAATTGACATTTTAAAAGTGAACATTCATTTGCATTCGTAGTATTCATTGTTTCCGTATTCCTCAACTAATGTGCTCAACTAATTTTCACTTGAGGATCACAAAAATGAAGAAGTGCAAATGGATTTTAAAAAATTCGACAGCATTTCCAGCTTAGGGACGAATAAATGATTCAATACAAGACGAACACCTTCACACGATAAAATTAACTGGCCAACGGTCTGAACTGAAAACTAATCTGAATTTTAGGCGCCGCTATTAGAAAGCGATGTGACGAACGGCAAAATAACGCCTGGTTGGGCAGCAGAAACTTTATTGCGTGTATTTTTTGGCTTGTAGACGATGAAAGTGAACATTTCGTTGTTTCATATATCGTACACTATAGGGCACACTGGATTATAAGGCACACAGCCAATAATCGTCTATTTCCCAACTTTTTCCTATAAAAACCGCACCGGGCTACAAGGCGCATTGAGCTAAACCATCAACATTACACTTGTAAACCTAAACGCAGCGCCGTGTACCACACAAAATCCCTTCGAAGTCAATAACCAGAATCAATCTATATACAAG